AAAAGCTACATCGTGACTTTGAGGAGAGACCTACACATGAAGACTGTACAAATTAATGCATATCAGACTCTTTCAAAATGGTGCATTTTTCCTTCCAGTAGACTTCCTGTTTAAAGTGCACTGAAGTCAATGAAAAACCATGTATTGATTTCAGTAAATACCAGTACAGGTCCTTGTAAGTAACTTACCTGGGAATCACACAGTAAAATACATATGAGGTTTTGAAGAAATAAAAAACATTTGGGAGAAAAAGATGCTATTGTCACTTAATGGGTTTCTTTTTTCCTGGATTTTTTCCTAGTTCTTTGGGGCTTGGAGGGGGGAGTGGGTGGTATTTATACTGACCTCCTTAAGGCTATTTACCCTCTGGATTTTCACTGAGGGAGAAATTTTATTTAGAGAGTTTTGTTCCTCCAACCTTATGCTGTAATAGTTCTAAAATTTTGATCATCCTTGGCCTTATGTATCTCACCATTAAACATTATATTTCACCCAGCTTCTCAACACTACGGTTGCCATTTTGCTAATCCAATACTCAATGTTAGGATTAAATAAATCCAAGGGTAAATTTTTGTCAGCTGTCTGTATTGCAATTCCCAACAGTGGAAACAGAAACCATGTTCCAGCTTCTCACACTGAGAAAGGTTCTCCTAGGAAATCTCCTGTTTTCCTAGACATTTCCATCTATGGGAAAATGTCCAATTTGTGGACATTTTGTGTCTCTTATACAACTTGTGTTGTCATTTCTGCCATTCTGGCCTTCCCTCCACTTCCAATAGGACAAGGGAGATGGGAATGTTAGGCTTTGGATAAACTGGGTAAATATACACTGCACACTCTGATGTTCTCACGTTGTACACAGACACGGTGCTACACAGTGTAAGGTACAATGTGCCCAAAGGACATACAGGAGGTATGCAAGAAAGTGGAAGGAGACAGAACTCTGTGTATATTAAAAAGTTGAGTTCATTCACTTTTCTGCAGAAATACTGGTTAAATCCTATTACATACAGTCACTTAGTTTCCCCAAATTTTTTGCAAGGTCCATCCTGAATTATGAAAACGATGAGATGTCAAAGGCTATGCTTGAACCCTCTGTAATCAATAACTTTTAGCTCCCATTAACAGAAAAGCTCTAGTCACATTCTTTATTAAATTATTTACCTCTTTTATTCAATTATCACATGGTCTACTTGCCTGATCACAGGGTAGAGTGGATGACTAAACAGTTTACAAAATCTGCCTTTTTTTTTTTTTTCTCCCTTTAAAAGACACACGGGAGAAGAAACGTGCCACCAACATCCACTTGATGGAGATGAGCCCATTTTATAGGAGGAAAGATAGACTCCAGTTCTGCTGGTGAGCTCTTAAGAGCTCAGGTCACCATGGAGGGACAGGGTCTAGGTTTGCCACCTTGGTAGGCTTCATTATTTTCACTATTACAGTCAAACCTGTTAATAGCAGGCTGATAGAAATTTGACCTTGCTCACAGCTGACTATAAAATACACTTCAATTCCCGTGAAGGCAATCTTCCTGAACTGAGATTTTAAGTGGTTTTCTCAGATGACTGTGTCACTGTTTGGGGCTGCATCACTGCAATCTGTGGGAGTTCTGCTGTTGGTAACAATGTCTCCGAGGAAACAGCAGTCAGTGGAGATCTCTCTCTGCTTCCTGGTAAGGTTTTTTGGCTTTCTATCCAATTTCCTTTCCTGTTGATAGAGATGATCTATCTGAAGTGTTTGGTTAGTTTTAAATCACTATGGTACTGACAAAAAAAAAAAAAAAAAGATTGTCTGACAAAGTCAAGAGAGAAAAAAAAAAAAAGAAAAAAAAAACCCAGCTCCTGTAGAGTTCATCTCACTCAAAACCATCCCTAGCAAGCCATTTGGTCACTGTACTGACACCTGCAACATTCTCCCTTAGGATTTGAGTTACCAGTACTGAACATTTGGGCCATTATATTTAGCATATTCCTGCTCTTGTTTGTGCTTCTGAATTACACAGTATTCAGAACCTGCCAGTATTACTGAGTATATTGCAGGCTCTTTACTGTTTCTGATCATTCTACAAGGAGATTAAATGTAAAGCAGAATCCCTGTTAAAAATTCTGTCTATAGGTACTTTGGAAAGCTAGTTATAGTAATTGTTTCATATGCTGTAATACAAAATCATAGCACAGTACAATAAATTAGTCCTATATTCATAATGAGATTTTTTTTTTTATATCTCATTTTGAATGTGTAGGCATGCAAGTGTCAGAAGGTACTTCAGAAACAAACTGACAGATTAAAAATAGATTTTTTTTTACTGTGGTATCATTAAAAATTTCTTCCAAAATGGAAGCAAATAAATAAATATTTGGAATCTATTAATTTTTGCAATCCTTTTTCCCTCCTTACAAGTCTTTGAAATGAAACAGGAACTACAAATGAATCCAAGTAGCACATATAGATCAATCTTGGTCAAATAGCCTAAACCAGCATTGATCCTACCGAACAATGCCCTGAAAAAGCTGATTATACAGTCAGTATATAGGGATGGGTGGCAGAAAGAGACAGCTGTTTCTAGTGAATCGTTTAAAGCTCTGTCTGAGAAAAAACATCCTTGGTTCTCATCAGAGAGGAAAGCAAAGAATAATTTCAGTAACTTCTGGCACAAACACTACGTTCTCAACACACAGAAGGCCATTGTTCCTCATACTAGAAATATTTTATCATTTGCGTAATTATGATCAATAATTGCCAGAGAATTAGCTTTGTTTCCTCTGGCTTAACAAAATAAACAAACAATCTCTTGTATACTATCTTCTACTCTGACAATCTGCAACAACGTGACCAAATTATGGAAGAAACAGCTACAGCTCCTAGAGATACATCTAAAGATGCAAACTACTGCAGTTAGACATCTTGTATGGATGCTCCATTTCCAGTTCTGTGCCATAGCACGTGTAATGGTTTTCCAACAAGTGTTGTAAGCTCCGGCTCCTTCTAGATGTAAGAGGCAAAAAGAGAAGGACCATACCTGGCCTCTCGAGAGCATCACTTAAGTAAAAAAGAGTTACTGTTGATATCACTACATCATAATAAAGTCATGTACGACATTCCCACATCCTTTGCATTCTATCATCAACAGTCCAATGCTATACATGAAATAGCAGCCTGGGACCCATATTACACGCTGTAGTATACATCTCTTGCAGTCTCCCAGGTCCTGCAAGGTCTGACTCTCAGCCATGAACCGGCTACAAGACTTGGACAGACAGAAAGAGGCACAGAGATACAGTCATAGTTTCACCTTCTGGGGTCTTTTTACTCTGATTCTCATCCCAAAGGAGTCTAGGTCACTCATGCATGTCCTCAATTACCCCAGCTGCTCACGGTCTCCATCAGCCACTTGATCATTACTTGGGCACAGACCACTCAAGACTCACCTGATCTTCCCCCCAGCATAAAACTTTGACCACGGACTGTGGTCAATCTGCTGTTCCAATCAACTGAAGCTAAGGATTAGTCCACTGAAAGAAGATTCGACTACTTCCAGACTCTTCAAAGGCACAGCCAGATCACAGCTGAGAATTTGGCCTTTGATTTTCACTTGCCACCTGCGCAGTCACCTGCGCAGAAATGCTAACCAGATGGATCTGTGCAAACACTTTCAGATTTATTGCCAGCGTATCTTCCACCCATTCTGGTGAAAAGAACATTTCTGATGAAGCTTTCTATCAGGTTTAAACTTTTCGATTCTTTAACAAAGTTGCCTGCTTGCATATTGCAATTTGAACCCCTAAGAAAAGCACCTATCTATGCCATAGTGTAAGAGAAACAAACGGACCATAAATAAACCTTGTGTCTCCCCCAGGCTCCACCTAGAAACTTTCTTTTCTTATTTATGTCACAGCATTCCTTCACAAAAGGGTGTCTCTCATTCACTCAAAGATGTGCCATAGCCACACTCATCAAAGCACAGGAATATTCGTTTTGCTTAGTTTTGAAGCCACTTTTAAAACTGTGTTGAAAATTTAACTTGACTCAAACATTATATAAAAGGGGGAAAGGGAGGAGGTATGTGTTCAAAGGAAATCAGAGGAGTGTGACTGAAAAATATGGGGAAAAAAAAGAAGGAAAAAAACCCCAAAAACATCCAAAGGAAAGAACAAAGAATGCAAATAAAAAGTTGAACATTGTGGGCCTGGTCCTCCTCTACCGCAATGGATGTAATTTAGGAATAAATCCACTCAAGCTGGTCAGCAAGGTCAAAGAAGAATCACACACTTAAGATCACCTTACCAAAGAAAAAACTCCAATTTTGAGAATTACATCAGATTTCAGATTTTACAAGGTTCACTCCTTCTTATTTTGAAGTGAGAATTTCCCAGGTTGCAACGCAAAATAATACTTAGTAAAAATACACGGAGCTCTACAACTCCTTTGCATAACTTTTCTGGAGTTGCACTCTCCCAGGCTGGCCTCTCTTTTCTTTTTCCACTGTTCATTTCCCACCCACCTCCCCCCCTTTTGCCAATTTTGATCTAGCAGGGAAAGTCCTTTCCTAGCAAGCACTGTCAAAATATCGAGGACATGGGCCTTGCACTCAGAGAATGCAATGCTGTGTCCAGACAGCAGTGCTGGTGCCTCAGGGATTTATAATAATCAACATGCATGTTCCTAGCAGTCAAGATGTGTTCCACTGCACAGCTGTGCACCTCTGCCTTTGGTTTGTTTCAGGTGCATGCTCCTCCCAAAGGCAAGATCTATGTAGCCAGAGTAGTCTGTCTGAACAGAGTGATGGTTCACTGCTAGCTGAAGGGAGGAAGACAAATCTGTTACCCATTACTCTGGTAGGAGTTAACTAATTATCCCCAATAACTCCAGCCTTTACAACGGGAAAGTAGCACACAGCTTTTATAAATAAGAATTATTGACCTTTTTAAATAGTTTCAAAAGAAGAAACTCTGCATCAACTGTGAGTATAATTTAGGAACTACTACATAGCAGCAAAACTACATTAGACTTTCCGATTTTTCCATGGTATCCTTGGATAGATACACCACCCAGTAGACCATGTTAAATGCTCCAAAGGTAACAGGAAATAAAATGCGTGCATATTTGTCTATCTTACTCGTGCCAGAGTGGGAGGCAGGGGGAGCAGGTGGTGTGACAGCAGATGGCTTTGCAGATGCTCCTAATGTATTAGGTGTGGTGGTCTGAATCTGCTCCAGTCTAGATCCAAGCAAATGCTGAATGGAAGGGGATCCAGCTGTGGCATGCTGGGATACAAATCCAGTTAAAATTGGGGTAGAAGGAGGAGCTGGAGGGGTGGCTCTTGCAGAAGATAATGTCTCTGATGCATTGATGCGTGTGAAAGGGTTGGGACTTGATGCAGGAAGGGAGTGGGGTATAATGTCAGAAGACCCCTGAGCTACAGAGGGAGGCTGGATGGAGCTGTGCCTTGTGTCAATTCGACTCCCACCATCAGCTTCGGACTGTACTGTGGCGTTCGTTCTTTTCCTCACATTTGAATTGGCATCTGTACTCTGCAAAGTTTACAAAAAGAGTTACTAGTCGTTCTTAAAATAAACACTTGAACAAAAGCAATGGAAATTTTATAATCAAGCACTATCATAGCAATACTCACAAACATAAACAGTAGCTTGATCCTGAAGCACAAAGATACCGCATACTCACGACAATAGCTTTAACAGTATTTAAGTGATAAACAAGAGCTCTTTTTACCTGTGGCTGGAATACCAGGGTGAACACATGTGATGCATCACACTCCATGTGATGTGGTACCTATGTAAACTTAATACCATGAGGCTAACAATTCTTGGCTTAGAGTTGGGGTTTTTTTCCAGGCTCATGCTCAAAACAAAGTTCTCTGATGTTTACCTCTTTCTCCGATGATATAAAAACATTCTAGACACAAGTTACCAGCCATGATGGTTTACTTCTGCTTTATACCTCCAGAAAAGTAACTACAATGTATTAGGAACTCTAGTCTGTCTTCTAGAGTAGATGCTATTAAAATGCAAGTATTTACCAAACCAAGTTACCACATTGCGGCTCTTTCAGAAACAAAGGCAGTGCTTTTCCACATCAACCACAGGCAATAAATTCTCCAGCTGCAATTGAACCAGTGAATAAATCAGTCTTTCACCAACTACTCTTTTCCATTAATTAACTAAGAAAAGTAGTGTATTCTCCATCACTTGATGTCTTCAGGCAAGTCTGGATGTCTTTCTGAAAGATATACTTAAGCCAAATAGTACTTATTAGGCTGGATGAGAAACTGAAATACAGATAAGGAAGTACGGATGGTAAATGCAGCAGAGTTTAATAATTTACTGACTTCTGGGAGTGGGACTCAGGCTCTCCCTTTCTTCTCTGCATTTAAGAGGAAGCCTAACATCTCCTGAACCTCCTTCTGGAAGGGTACCTGAAGAACAGACCTTTGAACCTTTAGCCCTGCACCTAAAATATAATATAAAGCATGTTATATTTTAGATATAATACATGAATATATCTTGTGCAAAGACTCGCTGCTTTCCAAAAGACAAAGATTTAATGGCAGATAGCGTACATACGCTCAACAGCAGCAATACTGGTCTAAATACAGGCAGGACCAAACAATCACTTGTTATGTATCAAAAATCACATGTTTTGCACCCCTCTGATGATAACCATTCCCAAGCATTGCCCTGCACCACACCTACTGTGCCTTTGGCTCCCCTTCCCCTCATCCCTACCAGAGAAGCCTGCCAAAGCTCACAGCACAAGGAAAGGGAGAGAACGTGGGCAGCAATCTTTCTTCCCTCCTTCATCCAACAGCAATTCTCTCCAGCTAAGTGCCAGAGAAGTAACGGAGAACAACTCAGGTATTATTCAAGGTACTAGTACCTTGAGTAGTGAGAAGAGCAACAACTATGCCTGTCTGCTACATCAGTTGTGCTTAGCTGTTTTGCACAAGGAAACATAGAAATGGGAGCTGAAAAAAAATCTGAAAAAATAATTAGAAAAAAAATCAAGAGTCACTGGACATCGCCAGTACTCCGATCATGGCCAGAATGCTGGTCCCAAATCCTGTTAATTGCAGTATAAATCAGTCACTGGCAACACTGCTGGCCTGAATTTATCTGAAGCTGCCACAGCTATATGCCAGTTCATGGCTGATGTATTTGCCAGCTCATGGTTGATATATCAAAGAATCCCTCTTAGGTTTCACAGTTTTCCTTCCTGCACAGAAGCATGTCAATCCTTTTTATTTTTCTGCATCTGCAATCCAAAGAAGCAGAGGACTGGAATAAACACCAGAGGAAACTGGTATTTCCTGAAAGAAACACTAATTGTACTGTTTGAAAGAGAAGCCTGAGTCACTCTTTGGGAAGTGCAGAAGTACACACAGGTGTGCAATTTGGATACTTTCACACTAGAGTTGTCAATGACCCAAGAAGAGTAAAGCTGCTTTCAAGACTGCTAAATTGAAATTATAAAGTACAGTCAGGACAGGAGTGCATTTACTAAAGACTTGGTAATACCTGAAGGAGGCTTGCAAAGCTAAGCAGATGCAAGTCATTGATGTTCACTGTTCAAAACAACTGCTCTGTGCTATGGAGAAGCTGGAGAGGAGGTGAGTTTTACCTTCTCCATGCAGATCCTTGGACAGCCTGGCTTTGCTCAAGTAAGATTCTCCCATCATAAAGCTCTCAAGCAGTGCCTGGAGAGCAGAAGCCCACGGGCTGCGACAGGGGTTGCAAAGTAGATCTGCACTGGAACTAAGGCATGTCTCGCTTCCCTCCTGCTCTCTGCCTGCATTAGACCAGCAGCTTAGAGGCGGTGCTACTGGAGAACAGAAGTACCACATCTTCAATCACTCCAAGCGCAACCATAAAGGAATGGCCCCAAGCGTAGAACAGAGGATTAAGCGTAATTCACAGAGGCATCATTTAACACTCCTGCTTACTTGTACTGTCATCTGTTTTCAAACAGCCACTTCAGTATTCTTCCCTTCCGTGCATCATCAACCACAGACACTAGTAAGACAAACAGGTAACAGCCAGGTTCCTTCTCACATTCCAGTCATCTCCATTTCTTCAGTGGGAACTTGTTTCCATTGATATGTTTGCATAATACCACTTCCCCCCACTTCAGCCATCATCTAAGTGACCAAATAAGACCTGTTGCTATTTAATCCACTATTGTCCCATTACAGTGTTTATTCTAGAACAAAATTATCTATACTATTTCAAATGATCAAAGCATGTAAGTGTTGAAAGGTCTACTGGGCATTCTCTTTCTTGCCGCTGATACACAAAACTTCCAATATTTCAGGAATCTTAAGTTTAGAAAGAAACCCAGTTTCCTTGTATTATCACAATGTACACACAAAGCCTAAATAGATAACATTGTAAGATACCACAACATAGCACCAGCACTTTGCCCCTCACCTCACTTCATATATCCTTTTCTTGCACTTGCCTTACTCAAGGCTGTATCATGACAATAGCTCGTTCTCCTCCTTCAAAGAACTCAGATGTCTCTTCTTTTTGGTTTCTTCACTTGAAGAGTTTCTAGCAAAAATTCTTGTTATTGCTTGTCTACATATGACCCCTATATATTCCTCAATTCGGTATTCTAAAGATAACTCATTTCTTCCTACATTAGTCTATCCCTCCTCTGTACTGATGCTATCTTACAACTCTACATCATCTGAAGGTTAGTGCCAAGGTCACTAATGAAAATATTAAAGAAGGCTGATTCCATGGCCAAGCCTTAATGAACCAAATTCTCTTGAAATCAGCAGAAGTCAGGTTAATCACTACGTTGCAAAACATAGAACAATGCGACATTCAGTTTGTACTAAGCAAAACATTCCACAGATATTTCAGCTATGGTGCATACCCCTAGTAAAAGGATATTGCAATAATGACAATATGACCAACAAAATTATATACATATGTAAAGCACTTGCTGCCTCCCAAAATTATTTTACTTAGTCTTTTTGAAAACAGCAAGAAACACAAACCTACTGCCTATCAGTAGCTTTTAGTTTGGAGGTACAGAAACAAGAAATAAAACTTGAAAATCAAATGGAAGCCAAAGTAAAATGCAACGCAAGAAATGAAGGGATTGTCCAAGTAGATTCCTTTCTGAGGCCAAGTCGGGAATCCACTGAATTATCCTGAGCCAACAGAGAGCTGCTGTGCTAGTCCAGATGGGGCTCCACAGGAAATACCAAGTCCATATTTCTTAACATTCTCACTCTAGATTGAGAAAGGATCTGATTTTCTGGAGGCACTTCAGTTGAGATTTTTGGGAGACATTTAAAATGGTGTAGGTCAGGAATGCTGGAAGCTACCATACAACACAGTGTATTACAGCATGCAATGCCAGACAATACATTTCATAAAGATTGTCTTTCTAGAAACATAACAACTTGCTGTTTACATAAATGATGCCTCACCCTTCCTTTGAAATAGCCTATCATTCTGACTTGGTCTAACCAACTCTACACTTCACAACCACCACCAAAACAGAAGTTGCAAGTACTTTGCTTTGCTGTATCTTCCTTCAAGAGGAAACTTTCTTGCTATTGATCCTGTTGGGAAAATTCAGCCTCTGAACCTTAACTGGCAGCAACGCTATGGATGAGTTTCCAAATCCTGGGCGATCTGACAGCACAAGTCCTGTCCATGCATAGACTAAGTTCTCAAGAGCTCTGATAATAATCTAAGAATATATATTTTGTTATAATTGTAGGACATCTTCATTGGATAAAGCTCTGTAGTTGGCTAGGTTACATTAATGCTGAGAATCTACAGCACCAGTCTCCTATTTGATTTTTAAGAGCCAAGATTGGCAACAGTGAAAGTTAAGTTTCAGCCTCCATGGCACTTCAAACATTTACCACCAAGACTTTGATTTAGGGACACTAAAAGGTACAACGTGCCAGAGGTAGAGAAGTGACCACACTAACAAAGCCAAAGAATTGACCAAACATAGGGAAATGCAGACTCCAGCCTGATTAATAATCACTCCTTCTTTCTATCCAAATTAATATTTTATTAGTCCATGCAACCATGCAAAAAAAAAAAAAAATCTCAGTAGAAGACATTTAGAAAGCTCCAATCCTATGCATAAACATATTTTACTGGGAGGCAGGAGACCATAGGATAGGACAGCAGGTTCAAATTCTGTCAGACAAATTCTGTCACACAGCACACAGCATGCAAAAAGCTTTTGAAATATTTAGTGTATTAAAAAGCATAGAGATCTTGCTTTAATTTTAAGCATCACATGCTATTTTGCATGGGTTTTTTATCTTTAAAAGAACTGAAGTGGGGAAAAATATATTCAGTACAAATTCTACCTATAGAAGAAGTCCTGATCTAAGATGCCCTTTTGCTAGTCCCAGAGCAGAAAGTCCATTTTATTTGGCCTGAAGATAGGACATCGAAACCAACCTCCTTGCAGGCGTGTGTAAAACGTGGTAATTAATGCTGTCTCCTTCCCTTGACAAGTGGATTCACATGCAATT